TTTTTTTTTTCAAATCGCATTTTAAAACATTTTTAAGTGTCATAAGAGCTTATAAAATACTTAAAGGTATATTAAAACTTAAATATATATCTTTAATTTTTTAGCATGCAGCATTGGTTAGCTTTGACTCGAAAAAAACCCTGAGGTAGAACTCAGTGTTCATGGTTTGATCCCAGATTTAGCTAAATAAACAACTTTTTTTTTTCAAATCCTACAATCCTTATCTTTACTTGTAACTAGCACTACTTAACTCATTTAAAAATCATACTCATATGTTACATCTTTAAAATCACATTTTAAACATCCTCCAAGAGTTATAATAGCGCTTTAAGGGTGTTTTAAGAAGGTCTTGTCTCAGAACTGGCAGGAGCTGGTATAGAACCTCAGGTTTCGTGATTCTAAGCCAGAAATTTTTGTCGTATCTATATATATATATATATATATATATATATATATATATATATATATATATATATATATATATATATATATATATATATATATATATATATATATATATATATATATATATATATATAAAAGTAAGGAGTATCAAGATTTGATTTTATATAAACTCTTTGATATTTCATTATGTACTTGTGAGTTAGCAACCGTTTTATGTAATGACAGAGATGTTAAGTAGCATCATCAATTGCCAAGTAAAGCATATCTTGGGTCTTTGTATAACTAGAAAGGTATTTGAGTACATTTTTTATATATTATTGTATACACTGGAATATTTGTTGTTTTAACCTACAATTATTTATAAACTATATATAATTATATCACTTCAATTAAACTGAAGTAGTTGATTATTTTCAAAAATTATATTAAAGGTCCCTTTTAAAGACAGGGCATATATTCGTGACCAGAGAAACAAGATTGGTCCTAAAGGTCTTTATCAGCTAGGAAAAGCTGATTTAAAAACTGGTAGATTTATTCTGGAAAGGTTAGTTCAAGTAGAGCTTATAGGTCATGTTGAAATGCCTTATGTCCATAACTCATTGATTGATTCTGGTCACATATCTGATGTTTCAGCATCCAATCCAGATGTTTTGGTAACAATTATACAGTATTGGACAAAACATTTGCAACCAACATCGAACAATGCTAAAAAGTGTTCCTAATTTTACATGTCTAAAAAACGAAAAGAACTATACTACCACAGCAAACAGTTCAGGAGTCTGGAGTCATAGCATGCCATGACATGAGCAAATCAGCTGACAGGTGACAGCACACAGGCAGAATTTCGTTGACAAGTGCCATTTTGCAGCGGACAAAACAAGTACAACTTTTTTACTTTGCTTCATTTTCTTAAGTGTGGCCCGTATTAACGTCACGGAAGTTTTTTAATAATGAAAGGAAGTATCCAGAAGTTTCCAGAAGTTTCCAGAGCATGCAGAAGCTTCCAGAAGTTACTAGAAGAAGCATCTGGAAGCATCCAGAAGTATCTGGAAGAATCCAGAAACATTCAGAAGCATCCAGACGCACCCAGAAGCATCGAAAAGAAGCATCTAGAATCTTCCAAAACAGGTTCAAACAAGTTCATTTTACTATAAAAGAGACATGTAAACCGACATGTAATTCAGTCAGTACATGGAAGTCAATAAGTCAGTATTATCAAGATAGTTTATCGAAGTGAGTTTTATCGAAAAACATCAATACAAGAAGTGAAATACAACAAGTGTTTCATTACATCAATACAGTCCACATCCAACCAAGAGGTTGTGTTCCACAGAGCATTATTGTATCATCACAAGGTAAATGTAACACGGTAAGCCTTAAGAAGCGTGATTATTTGTTTTTATTATTATGACTTTAAGTGCAAAAATGGCTCACGACAGTCTTGGATTGGAAATAAGAAAGAAAATTATTGGCGATTACGTAAAGTGGAATGTCACAAAAAAGTTAATTATATATAAGTATATTATTATGACTTAGTGACTTATTATGAATAAGTATATTATTATGACTTTAAGTGCAAAAATGGCTCCTGACAGTGTTGGATTGGAACTAAGAAAAAAAATTATTGGCGATTACGTAAAGTGGAATGTCACAAAAAAGTATTTTTGATAAATATCGCGTGAAAAAATGGACCGTATCAAGACTATGTTCCAAATATCGTTCTACGGGAAAGTTGGCAGCAGATTACAAAGGTGGAAGACCGCGTTCCACCAGAGAGGATTCTATGATCGTCAGATCAGTCAAGAAGGATCCCTGGATATTGTCAGTCGAGATACAAAAGCAATTAGAGCTGCCTGCATTGGATCGAGCAATCAGACGACATGCTGTTGAAGCCGGATTGTTTTCTCGACGCCCTGCAAAGAAACCGCTGATTTCACTAAAGAACCAGAAGAAAAGATTCCTGTTTGCTACATCTCATATTGACTGGAATGCGCAGAAATAGATAACTGTCATGTTTAGTGATGAATTGAACTTCAACATCATTGGGAGCGATGGCATTTGCTGTGTACGTCGACTGGCCGGAAAACGCCTCCATTTATGTTACTGCCATTAGACCGTGAAGCATGGTGGAGGGAATGTAATGGTCTGGGCATGTTTTTCTGCTAACAGTCTAGGTCCAATACATTGAATCGATGGAATAATGGACCGTTTCATGTATAAAAATATCCTGAAAGATGTTATGTTACCTCCTGCTGAATGGAATATGCCAATAAAATGGGTTTTTCAGCAAGACAACTATCCGAAACACACTGCAAAAGTAGTCAAGCAGTGGTTTCAAGACAACAACCTATCGGTGATGGATTGGCCGCCTCAATCTTCAGATCTCAACCCTATTAAGAACCTGTGGGAGATCGTCAACCGCAGAATTAATCGTGAAAGTGATCATAATAAGGATCAACTGTTTGAACAAATCCAAAAGGTCTGGGCAGTGATTTTATAAAGTTTCATTGATCATCTGATCGAATCTATGCCTCGAAGATGCAAGGTTGTGATAGACAACAAAGGACTCGCCATGAAATATTGATAGCGAAATACAGCTTGGTCAACATTTTGTGGAGTTGCACTTGTTTAGTCCGGAAGGAAATCAACTTTTTTCAATACTTTTGATTAATTTATTATTTTCATGTACATTTTAATTTAACTCCCCAAGGCTGATAAGGCCACTACAGACAAGGAAGATACTTATTTGTGGTTATAACCTTCTTAACTCTATAACTTCAAAATACAAACCTTAACAAACACGGCCGCTGCGCGGAGAAACAAGTTGAGCACGGTACTACCAGGGATGTGGTGGGGATCAAACTTGGAACCTCTTGCTTATGAAGAGAGCGCTCTACCACTATACCACTACCACAGTATGTGTAATATTATTCATAAATATATCATAGATGAGTATTTGAAAATCCCGGTAATTTTTTTCTATGAAAATCCCATAAGATTATTTAATTAAAAGTTGATCATTTTACAGGATCATTTTTTTTGTCTGTTACAGGGTTATTTATTCTTATATGCGATTTTATGGGTGTTCATTTTTATATGCGTGTTTATTCATTTCTATATTTGTGTTTATTCAATCTTATAGGCGCGTTTATATGCGAGTCAACCACTCATAAAATCTCTAATATAATTTAATATAAACAATAAAAAGGCTTTTAAATTTTTATATAGATATATTAATAATAATTATAAATAATTCAATTTAAATTTAGATAAATGAATAATTAAATAAATAATAATTTAATGAACCAAGAAATTTAATAATAAAATTAAACAAAGACCTAATACTAAATTAAATAAACCATCAAAAACTAAACAAACCATTTTTTCAAAACAAATTGTTTAAATGATTTTTTTTTGTTGTTGAAATTGCTCTTTTAAAACGCATATAAGAATGAATAAACACGCATACAAGAATGAATAAATGCGCATACAAGAATGAATAATCACTCATATAAAAATGAATAAATGCGCATAAAAGAATGAAAAAACATGCATATAAAAATGAATAGACGTGCATATAAGAATGAATAACCCTGTAACAGACAAACAAAACTTTCATAAACTTTGAAAACAGAATTTAAAATACTTAACTTTTTACAAAAAGGAATTTCTAATATTCGAAAAAGTGAATTTAAATAAATTAAAAAGCCAAAAAAAAAAAAAAATTGTTTCAAGAATTGATTAAATTGTGAAAATTTTAATTATAGAAAACATATTTGTTTAAATGCAAAAGTTGTCGTATTTAAAATTTCATGTAAAAATATATAAATTTTTTTTCAAATAAATAACAAAAAACATCTGGAAATATCTGGAAAATTAAAGGAGTTTTAAAAGAATTTCCGAAATTCCGGGAATTCCCAGAAAAAACTCATCTATAATATATATATATATAATAATATTAAATAAAAACTACAATTTATAAACATTTATACTCTTATGTATTTTATAAACAAGGAAATAAATAATTATTTCAATTCAATCCAACATAACAATAAAAGAAAGTCTTGCGCATCACTTTAACTTTCCTTGAAGATTATCTTCCGACCATTTACTCATTAGTACTTTTGTTACCTCCTCATCCTAATGTCTACCTCTCTTTTTAGATTTCACTTTTTCCTCAGCAACATTTTTTACCTCCACCATTTAAAAACACAGTTCAAGGTAATAAAACACAAATAAAACAACCTCACAAGGTTGTTTTATATAAATAGTTTTTATCATAACGCGTTTAAATCAAAATCAATATTAAATTTGGTAAGAACCATAAAAAAATTTTTGCATTTAAAATATGACAGTTTAAACATGTTTTATCGTCAGCATAATAAGGATATAAAGTAACTACAATAGCTACACGATTTTTTTTTTACAAAAAGACCAAGTTATGATTTATGTAAATAAATAAAAAAATTGAATTATTGAAGGTAGATGTCTAAATAGATCATGATTTGTAGGAACATTTATTGAGCATTAAACATAAAAATTATTATAATCAAAAATTAAACATAATATACTAAAATACAATTAAGAACTCTCACCTATTTTACAGTAATCTAACTTTGTACATGTCTTCCAGTGACACCAATCATCTACATCAATAAAACTCGCACACAAACAAGGTATGTCAAAAATTACTGCACTGTACTTTTTTTTTGCGCAAGTTATTGCACAGTATGATACTGATAAAGCAAATGAAAACTGCATGATTGATGATGGCTGTGGCATGCATTTCTGTGTATTAACTATAAAAAAATTGACATAAATTCACAACTCAATTTATGAACAGAATCTTAAAACATTTCTGACTTTAAAAAAATTCACTAAAAAAAAATGAGCATATGTATCTCCATCATTAGTTGTTTTTGGGAGTTGGAAAAACTATAGCTAGGCCAGTTTAATTTTCCACTCTGCAGTCGTATTCACTTCTCTATGTTAAACTAATGAAGAATTTTTTTTGTTTGACAAAAAAATTCTAAATTTTTAAAGAGAGGGAAATCTAATCCTGCTGTTTAGGCACTGTATATTACCCACTCTGATAATTTTTTAGTTAAATTCCTTAAATAGAATTTAAGTAAAATTCAATAATGCAAATAATCTATAAGTATTATGTTGTCATGAAGTTTTAAAACCTGTGACAATTTTTATAACAAAGAAACATTGTTGAAATGGTCATTCCAAAAGTGGATAATTTTAATGGCTTTATTTTGTAGTGAGGAAATAATTTTTAAGGATTGATTTTTAGTTTGTCCCCAGATCTGGCAAGCATATTGTATGTGAAATCCAAATATGACGTGATAAATACTGGCTACAGTTTCTAAGTTAACAAAGTGCCTTACTTTAGTCAACCTACTACTAGATCTACTTAAATTTCGACTGTAAATAAGAGTGGTGCTATTTAAAAAGAAAGATTTTCATCCAGTATTATTCCAAGATACCATACTGATTTTGAAGAAGTTAATATCTCTCCATTAATATAAAAATTTAATTGTTTATTAATTTTTTTGGTTTTAGATTTTAAAGATTACTATTTGGTTTTTTTTAGCATTAAGTGAGATTTTATTAACTCCCAGCCAGTTGGGTTGATGAGGTAAATTCATTTATAGTTACAAATTGAAGTCTATGGTTTAAATAAGATTTGAACCAGTTCAGAGGAACTCCACGATCTCCATAATAAACTAATTTGGTGAAAAGGATACAATGGTTTGTGTCGAAAGCTTTCTGCAAGTCAATAAAACACACCATAAGCAAATTTATTTTTATCTCGTGCTTTTCGAATAATAAAATCAATAAGTTATATATAGCAGTTTGTAATAAAAAAAATATTCTTAGCTTAAGTAAAAGATTGGTACAAATTTGTTTTTTATTCTTTTCTAATTTTTTTAGAATAAATAATTAGAAAAAGAATGATTGTTTTTGTTTAAAACAGACATGGGTTATACTTGATTGCAAGCATCATTCTATTTAAATATACTTAAAGTTATACGTTTGTTAAAAGTTAGTGTGTTTTAAGCTATTTTGCTTGGCCTAAATTGTATATATTTTTTTAAACTTTCTAATTAATTCCTAATTAATATTTAAACCTTTTAGACAGGAAAAAAATTAATGTTTTATTTAAATGTTTGTAGCCCCGGCTTTTGTTGGGATTTCGGGGCACAAACTGTAAAATTGTAAACCTTAAAAATGGGTTTCACAAATTTTTTTTTAGCGTAAAATAATTTTTATCCAACCGGTCAACTAACCCACGCGGTTGGGATTTAGTTAAAAAAAATTGTTAATAAATGACATATATACATACTTATATGAATATGAATATATATATATATATATATGTATATATATATATATATATATATATATATATATATATATATATATATATATATATATATATATATTTATTTATATATATTTAAACATATTTTATATATATTTATACATATTATATGTATGTATACACATATATAATATATATGTATATACGTGTTTATATGGATATAATACGTTTATATATAAAATATATATGTTTATATAAATGTATATTATATGTATATATATATATATATATATATATACATATATTTTATATATATGTATATATATATGTATATATATACATAATATGTATATATATATATATATATATATATATATATATATATATATATATATATATATATATATATATATATATATATATATATATATATATATATATATACATATTTCTTATTATTAATTTTTTACTCGACTAGATTATTTATTTACTAGGTGAGAAGGAAACATCGTAATAGCAGAGCTAATCGAAACGAGTTCCCTTCGTACCGAAGTACTACTCATATGCTGAGTAGGCGGAACAGGGATTTGAACCTGAAATCCTGCTGCTACGGACAATAATTATTCCGAACTTTATAGCAGCGCTTTAACCAACTGAGTTCCTATTAATTAAATATAAACAGAATCCATGGTGTTACACTTTAAAATATTTACTATAAAAACTGACAATAAAAAAATAACAAAAACTATTAAAACTTAGCCTTA